AAATTCGATAAATAAAGTCCATGAAACGAGCGTCTAAACATCAACCTAAACATCAACGATGCACTCACTATTCAGGGATCCTTAAAAGCAGCGAACGTCGCCATTGAAACAAGAAAATGTTACGGTCTTGATTGTCATTGAGGTCAAATGTTAATGGTTCTGGCATTTATATGGAAAATGAATTTTTATGCGAATATTATCAAAGAATATTTTTGAAATATAGTTATAATTAAATTAAAGGACCTTTACTTGTCCATCACTTGTCGTCATAACTGTCCAGAATGACGCTTTATATTATAATTAGTGCTGACAAGTTTTTGTGATATATATCACTAGAAATATTTCTCCATCTTATTGCCAGCTTATAAGGATGAAGAAAGCAAAACTTGTTTTTTTAGCAAAGCATGAGTAGGCCCTATGCTTAGTGCACTCCATCGATGGTTTGAATGCCTAAAAAATGGTGTCCCTAGCGATCTCACTGTAAGTAATGTAAATATGATCATTTCTGTCCATATTTTTACCTGAACTCAACTTTCTCTTCCAAGACATCTTGTGAGGGGTAAATACCCAGTAAATGATGGTAACCGTATAAATACAGCTTTATGTAGATGCAGTTTATACACGTCGTTTTATTGTACATATAGATCTGTTTATATTTTATAGCAGTTGTTTTCAACTGGTGCAAATAATTTAAAGAGTGCTCAGAGACAATGTTAGCCAAGCCAAAGACCGTGTATAGTGTAGTCATAAGAAATGTATTTTTATGTTGTAGTTGGATAGTTTTATTAACGCCCATGATATATACAAAAATGTCCCCGCTTGGGGCAAATCCCCGTGGTTGAAAACCTATGGTTTATAGTCTATGCTTTATCACAGCTCGTGATTAGGCTCTAGTTACTGTAAAGTTACCAATAGTATTTAGTAAATCTTTCTGATAAACTATAGATAACACTATACACAAACTCGCGATATATTCTGTTGATTGAAGGATTATAGGGGATATTAGATTGCAAAAACTCTCTTTAACACAAATACAACTGAGCAGCTCTTTCTTTGTCTTCCGTCTTGATGCATCATTTATGTGGAGAGGTCTGGACTTAGAGAACTTGAAGACGATATTTACCTCTAGGGTGGCATGTTTTAGTTGGAGAGTTAAACTAACAAACACCAAAGACTTTTAATATGCGGTGATTATTTAGTCGAGACAGTTATCCTTTCTAGTCATAAATAAAACATGCATTGCTATCATATCAGTGTTATTGAATCAGTGATGATGGTAGATTCGTTCCTTTCATTTATGATTTTGGTATAGATTTTTGGACAACACATCTGGCCAATCCAGCTGTAAAATCCAATTGATTATTTTGGGGGACCAGTACTCTACACAGAAAACATTTATTCCAACCCGGGACACCTAGCTCTATCATTCATTCCCATCTTGTATGATTCAGGACTGCTATCAGCTTCATGTACTTTGTCACATGGATTTCAGATCCAGGTATAATGTAATGTAATGAAATAGGCAGCTTTCAACGGAGGAATATTATTTGTAAAGTTGTACACAAGTTTAACAACTTATGGTTATGGCAAGGTGCACTAAATTAAATTTTCTAATTACAAATACATCATTATGTGACATTGAGAAGGAAGAAGGTGTATTTTATCGACACACAAGAAAATAAAAAGTTACATGGTATGAATGTCAAGAAAAATATTGATACGATCTAGATACAGGAACAATGAATATAACAGTGTCAAGTTATAAAATACTAACAATTGTCAACAATATTCATGATGTCATTCACTATGCTGTGAAATTACACCATAATATCGCTCGTTAAGATGACCTACGTAACCAACCAAATCACATCACGGCGCCAAATCATAGATCCCACCAGATTGTGCAAGGCGTTCTCATTCACGTCATACAGATTAAATTAATGAAGGAGAGCTGTATGCGACACTTATGGAATATGATATAGACCTCTTTCTTGCTGATATATCGATTTCGGAGTGACACCAAAAAACGGTAAAAATTATAAAACTGTTTCTCCAATTATCAAGTAATCTCTTTTAGAGCTAACAATTTTCTCACATGCAAACACAAAATATTGTACACCACTGTTACCACATTACAATCAGTGATTTCACATCTGAAGAGTGTTTTCTCTCAGAACTAGTCTAGTTTTAAGGGAGATAACTCCATTTTGCTAGAATATGGCTTTAGAATTTTCGCGCTCTTCAAAACATGAATTTTACACACACTGCTCACTAAAATTGTTTATAATTAAATTCTACGTGAGGTAAAATCTACTAACCTAGCAAAAGCCTTTAAAACTTCTTTTTTACTTTGAGTTCCTGGGAGTTAAACCAATGTCTAAGTCCACAACAAGTTACTCATGCATGCATCCAACATGGAGCAATACCAAAAGGAAAATATAGATGTGTCAACAGTAACACTTGAACCATGTAAAATTTTTCTACATAAATTATAAAGGTAAAGCACAAAGCATTTAATATTTTATACTACCTACTGTCGTTAAGATGAATGGATTGTAGAGTAACATTGTAAAGATTGTGTTATTTGAGAAGATAAAAAATGTTGTGAATCGACCAAATACCCACCACAAAGGTTTGTTCACACTCAATATGACGAGTCTAGGGTGATGAATGAAAGGCTAGACTGTGGGTATTAAATGAGAACTGTCTTATCTATTACATCATGAAACACTTCGATTGTTCAAAAAATCCTTTCGTATTTTTCAGTGCGTCTGTTGGGGAGTTTTTTATAAGGTAGATACCTGCAGACAGGTTTTATAGTCCTCTTTTACTGCTATATATACTAGTCATTTCTATAACTACAGCTCTCTTTACATTTCCTTTCTTTTTCTTATCACAATTCAGTTTTTGAATTAGCACGCCAAAAATATAGATTTAACACCCGATATATCACAAAGCAAAATGATGGTTCAAAGCTCTATTGAAAATGGTGACTGTCATAAAAAGATTCACTATAATTTGTAAGAAAAAGGGCTATTCACACAGTTTGTCAGACTTGTTGTTTAAAATATTTTTATACAGTAAAGTCGTCATATTCATTCGAGCTTGATTAAGGTGTTACTCAATTGTATATAACGACAATCTCCAAATATATCAAGCGTAAATTGGTTATCTAGAGAGCGTGTAATAATTTTACGATGTGCATGTGACTATCTGCACTGGATAACCATTGCTTTGATTCACAGAAACAGTTGCATTTTCTTTCAGATAGATTATACTCTCCAATTATTGCTAAGGATTGATCATTTAAATACCTTAACATGGTGTGCGTTTTAATGTAACTTAAGCGCATTGGGTATGATTGTATACAATAGCGCATGCACACGACGAGCCTATGAGAGCCTATGTCCGGGCTATATTTGTGTAATATAAGGTGCATCGTAAGTTGGTAAAACATCTAACAGTAAATATTTTATAATTTATTCAAATATTTTATATTTGATTTCAAAAATATAATAATATAAGAAAATAAACTGATATACATAATAAACAATAAAATATTTGTATATTCAGTAATAAGTAATATAAATTATTGGCAGTAATAATATCATTAATAACAATAAACGATACAATATCGCTTGCATATATACAAAAATATACAAATATATTAACAATAAGCACTATAAAAATACGTTTCAGGAATGTTACACTGTGAAAGAATGTGTATGAAACTATAAACTCTTTATAAAAATGTCTTTATAGAGTTTCTTACTTCAATGGCAGTAAGATAAAAATATAAATGATTTCTTGGGAAGATTGGGAATGAAAGGTAAATATTATATAAAATATTATGTTAAGGCAGTTTTGGTATTTGACAACAATACTCTGGATGGACTAGGTGATGACATATTTATATCAAATTATTATTTTTATTTCATGACATCACACTGACTAGTGTTCAAAACTTTCAAAACAACTCGTCTTTCTTTTATTACATTGAATTTAAATCAAATTCGAATGGACTAAACATTATACTTGTGTGTCGCTCGGAGGCTTCTTCCGCCCACTCTTCTAGGCTGAACGGTCATCTGGCGGTCATCTCTATATTGACAGGGGCTAGCACAGTTGGGTGGCTTTCACTGTCAATTCAATACATCTCCAACCTCTAAATTCTCTTCTCAATAGTGACCATGTTTAAAACAGTTCATTCAATATACCACGTAGATATGATTTGAGTATAGCTAGCTATAGTCCATAGTATTAACTAACGGAAGGGGCGTTCATAGAATTCATATATAAATCTGAAAAGATAAGAATGAATTGAAACTATAAAATAAATCAGATTGAGAAAAGTAAATATAAATATTATTATAATAATAAATCAAATACGTTCAGACTATATTCCCCTTCAAATATTTTACGATTTTAGTTAATGTCGGCGTGCAGTATTCAACTATTATAAATGTTTGGGAATAGAGCAGGTGAAATCAATACTGATATCCTCAAATCTTTTCTAATTTATTTGAATTTTTATAAAAGGTTACCACTCAGCTATTTGTATTTTGATTCAATGGCACACGTGTTCGATTCCCCTTTATTGTAACAAAGTTTGACAAATGTTCTTCAATGTAAACAATTCCCACAGTCTCAAAGACAACACTAAGATTCTTTGACAATGTGTTTTGTGAGTGGTGCGATAATAAATAATACAATTTAAGTTAACTAAACCTACCTTGAGTAAAATTTGTGGTATAAATATCGTTGTTAATCCATAAACTTAATAAATCTTCATCCAAGGAACTACTCAATGAGTCGTAAGAAGCATCTGATGACGATGATGGTGTTGGTGAATGCATACTGGAATCTTGTACCGGAGATGTCATTGGTGCTACTAAGTTCTGGAATGCTGTTTCTGTTGTAACTGGTGAATGGATCATTTCAGGCGAAGCACTGGAACATTCTGTATCGCTGTATACAGTTTGATTGGTATCGGTAAAACAGGACTCATCCTCTTGCAGCATCTGTTGTAAAAGTTTGATATATTCAACAGCTCTCCTCAATGTTTCAACTTTGCTCAGTTTTTTGTTTTTCTTGATACATGGCACATGTTCTCTAAGAATCTCAAAACCATTATTGACTTGTTTAACTCGATTTCTCTCTCGTTCGTTTCTTCTCGACACTGCTCCAACCTTTGGTGCATTGTATCCCATTTGCTTAACGAAGTCGATCTTTCTTTTACATCTCAACAGTTCCTTATCATCACCTCCTGATGTTTTTGGTCTTAAAGCTTGAACTTGTTGTGCAACCGTGGTTGCTTTTAAGACGATACATGGTCCTGTCACTATCATTCCATTTGTATTAGAAACAGGTATGGCTTGTAGAGGAACACAATTTACAGAAGATGTCATCTTGCTGCTTCACTTCTTGCACGCTTTTACAAAATATTAGGTACGTTGTTCGGCTCGTGTCTGGCGTGTGAGTTGTCTGCACGGCAGTATATGTTCTGACGCGTTCTAGGCTCGTGTCTTCGATGTTGACGTTCGACAGATCGAATGGCGTTCTCACTATTCAAGGGATTTTATAGGGCCCAGCCCACAATTTAGACTCCGCCTAGTGTTATAAACATAAAGGTTGACAAGCCGTCCATCAAACCTTGGCTCGTGTGGGCTACGCGTGCTGCATTTATCAACTTTTAAAAACCACAAACGACCTGCATCTTGAAATTAAAACTGCTTAAGGTTAAATAATATTAATAATAAATTTATACATAATATTCGATTACTAAAATCAATTCCAACCGTTAAAAAATATCGTATTAGGCAAAAATTCAAAGTTATTTTTTTGTACATGTAAGAAATGTTAAAGGTGCTGACACGCGTTGTTTATCGCAGTTATTTTCATATATAAGAAGGAATTAACAACTATTTTTAGTAATGTTTCTATAAAAATTCAAACACTGATTCGCTACATTTAAAAATAGCCGGTAAATTTTAAAAACACTGATCTATATTTAGTACCTTGATAGTCATTAAATTCCTGATTTTCACAAGTTTCAATCGAGCATTTCATACGCTTTCTGTGGCATATGATGCGAGAGTGCATTGCACCAACTTCTGTTAAAGATCAAACAAATAGCATCGCGTTATTTGTTCAATATTTTCACCGAGGCTTGTCAGTTAAATCTTAATATCTTTAGATTTTTTTTTAATTACAAAACGTTTCTTTGTATTTGTACACTGAGTACCGCCGAGTATGACAATTATTACATTTATTTCAAATTCTAGTATATTAAATGAAGCTTGAAGTAATAAAGAATATTAGAAAACTAAACATTATTAATAAATGATTGATTCCGCCGTTGAAGTTTAATACATTTCGTCATCACCTGCACTAGGAAAATAGTCAAAATGCAGCTAAATTTAATAAAAGGACGAGTTTGAAGAACATCTTATTCAAACGGCTATACATTGAAATTGAAGAAAAAACCAGGGCTATAGAATGTTGAAAATAACTGGTTAGTTACATTCGACCTAAATATCCCACCGTAACTGTCTATCCCAGTGATATGCTTTTTTATAAAATTCTATGTCATTATACTTGATAATAACACAGTCTTGTTTTGGGGGATGAAAACATAACACCTGCCTTGGGTAACGGGCCATTACCAAAAGGTTGGATATAATTACTTTTCTTATAAAATAAGTTGAATAAGGACCCGATAGACACTATCTTATTCATTAATACAATGGTATAACAGGCGCTGAAATATCAAACTAGGTTTTATTTTTTCAAATTAAACTCAATCACATCTGAAGATAATGACATTATTGTTCATTTGCCAAATCCTCGTTCTTTTTCGGAATTGTGGGTATCTTTTTTGTTCTAAGCTTCTTTTTCCCAAATAGACGAATTAAACGTAAGGGGTTAAAAGTGTCCAAGCAAAAAAGCGGGTTAGCGACCACAAGCTTTATCTCCTGTTGTATGGCAAACTATCATTGATATAAGGCAGACATCCAGATCAAGAATAGTGATCAAAGTTTTTGATAGTTTATCAAATATATCACTCATATTTTTACATAATAATAAATGTAAGCACGCGTGCCGGTGAATCTATTACGAATATTACAACAAAAGTAAAGTTTCATTCAAACTCATATAAGCTGGTTTCACGTTCTGCTCCAGTGTTTTTAACACCCTCAGTGATATATGTTTGTGTTAGCAGACCCTGGCAGTGATTTCAATCTCTTTGATCAAATCCGAAAAAAGTCATCCTGCGGCACATCTATGTCAAATATGTTTAAATATTGCCTGTAGCAAGAAAAGACACGTTATTAATATCTTACACGATGTAAAGTGTGCACACCAAGGCACGCGTACAGGTTCATATCCAATAAAATTGTAACTTATTGCGTAAGTTTAAAAAAAATTTCTATGGCGTTGTTGACGTGCGGTTTAAACTCATTTTTGGTGAAACATAAACATATATGGCTCAAGTATAGTCAGCTTACAAAAGTGAAAATCGCTATTTTCATAATAAGCAAAAATCTTAAATATTTAATAACGGACATACCCATCCTAAACGTATCTATATTATTAGCATGATATCTTTTTCAACAAGGATGTCGTCAACAAGGATGTCGAGTTACTCGCGTGCGACACGGGAAGATTTAATGAGATACATGTATTGTTAGCTAGGAGAGATAGTAAAATATTGGTGTAATATTTACGTTGGTAGGATTTGCTGTCTACCTTAAGATTAATTTTTTTGATAATAAACTCCGAGTATATTTTATAGTTAAATAGAAATAGAAGAAGGTATTACGAGTACAGTCAGTATCTAGAGCTGTCGGATAGTCAGTATTTAGAGCTGTCGTGAAGTCGGTCTCCAGAGCTACCAGATAGTCAGTATTTAGATCTGTCGTAAAGTCGGTCTCTAGAGCTACCAGATAGTCAGTATTTAGAGCTTCCATAAAGTTGGTATCCAGAGCTGCCGCATAGCTAGTATCTAGATCTGTCGTATATCTAAAACTACTAGATAGTCGTATCTAGATCTGTGATATAGTCAGCAGAGCTATCGTATAGTCACTGAACTTCCTTGTCAGCATCTAGAGCTGTGGTATAGTCAGTATCTAGATCTGTGGTATAGTCAGTAAAGCTACCTGATAGTCAGATTGTAGAGATGCCAAAAAGTTAGTGTCTAGGTAGATCCTCTCGTCAGTATGAAAGTCTTATCTATAGGATATAAAGAAGTATCTAAATATATTTTTTATTATAAGAATATTTCCCGCAGAACTTGAGAGCTACTGGATTTTCAACGGCTGTGATAATTTTCACATTTTCATGTTCTACTTTCTGACAAAAATATTTCAAGGACGTCAAATGTTATGTATTGCAAAATACCATTGGTTGCCTTAACTTCAAAACATCTACTCGCAGAATTTGTTAATTATTTGTACAAAGTCACCGGCGAAGAGTTGAATAAAAGAACGACAACGTCCGGCTTTGGTCAAGCACATGTGGTCATTTGGGCGTGTCAGAGGTTGCTTTTCACTTAAACCAGTATCATGAATTAAAATTTGTGTTTACCTTTCCGCTCAATACAACATCAAACAGAAACCGTTGATAATAAAATGTAATATTAAGAGGATTATTTTCATTGGTCATCATCAAAATTATAATAATCATATCACTTTCTTTTTATAACTTATTAATTATTGGCAGTCAAAAATAAAGCTTTTATATTTTCCTGTTCATTGTGAAATATCACACATCTAAAAAGGAGTTCTAGTCTGAACTTTGTAGGGTTATTTGGTAGAGGAAATCACACACACGATGCGATCATTTTGTTACGGCATCACTGACTTAAATAGGCATCTTACTGTTATTGTCTGTGGCTAACCATATCTTGTTCTGTCTACATCCATGTGGTACGATTCAATCCAGGCTTAGGTGAAGAGAGTATCTAATTTTCAACGTTTCCTATGTACGTTGAAAATCTCTACAGTCGGAAAAAGAGTGGGTAAATGGCGCTGCCAGAAAGAATGACCCCTACTGCATGGGCGTTGCCAATATTTATTAACCCCATCATGAATAGAAAAGTAAGCTGTATAGCAATGATTCATTCGTTATCAAAGATATATTAGATACATTTTTCAAAAGTTGCAGTACGGAAAAAAACAGGGGGAATATCTTTTGCGTTGTAGAAGAAAGACCCAATTAAAAATATATAAAGAAAGGTTATAATTCAGGTTCGAATATTTACAAGACTATCAGAACGAAGAGCATTAAACCGGCACGTTTTATTGGCAACATGTTAAATCTTTTTCTTCTATTCACTGTTTATGTTAAATACATTTAATTAGTAAACATTAATATAATCAATTAATATACTCTGTCAATAAATGACACTGATATTTTCTGTATCTGATCAAACAGGACAAACTGTTAAACAAATCTCTTGGCAACAGAAATATAACTGACAGGTGGTATCAACAAACAGTAATTCTAACAGAGGAACGCCCACATTCTCAGATATCAATTCCATACCACTATAGAGAGTTAACGAATTCCTGTTATGAATGGAATCAATTAACTAGACTATCAGTATCCAGGAACTTGCAATTAATTAGTACCACAAATTCCATGATTGCTCTTAAACTCTTGGTTCAAGTAAAGCTTATAACTAGATAGCACATCCGCCACCACCAGTCATTGTAGCACATCAAAGGGGTCAACATGGGCAATTTATCTTGTGGTCGGGATCTGTGTGCCAAGCTTTTCCCGTTTAAGAGATCTCTTAGGAAAGCAAGCGAAAAAGAATAAGCAAATATCGGTGTCCTGACATTATGTAAGCGGTCTAAATGCCTTTCCTGTGATCGTCAAATTTCAAAATGTCATCATATACTGATAAAAGCAAGGAGGTTTAAAGCTCTTTAGTTAAGACAAGTAGAGCAGGGGCAGATACAACCTTCTCTGCGGTTCTTGGCGTTTCGGGCGGCGTTTAAAGCTCTGGTGGTTTCATTTAGTGCGACAAATCCTAATCGTCCCAAAGTGTTAAACTCTTCCTTTTATTCAATTGCCAAATACCTGGTTATTTATAACAGTATTTTAATTGTGAGACAACGCCATCCGCCTACGAAGTGATTTGTTTCCAATAAAGGAAAGTGAAATAGGAATAGAAATAGAAACGGGTGTGCTTAAACCTTGCTAATTTTAGTCGTATAATTATCTTTGTTTTTGTGAAACAGGATCC